TTGTTGCCAAGCATTCGTAGTACCTCCAGGTGAACTCCATGAAAAACCAGGGTGCCTCTGACCCATTGCATTGAAATTTTATATTCCCGTAGCATTTACTTCCTTAGTTGAGGCTTGACACTCATGAGTAGGGTGTCCTCTTTCACATATATCACAAGTTGCATGAGGCTCACTTTGTATCAAGGCTAAGGTCAGCTTCCTTATCTCTTTGGCCATAGTATCAAGTTGTACCTGCACAGATGTGTTAGCATCAACCTGGTGAACACCAATTGATCTTCGTCTTTACGCACTCTCAGAGGGCCATTGATTTGCATCTTCAGATAACTCGTCAAGAATTGTGATTATATCCTCTTGAGTCTTCTTCATCAACAGGCCTCCAGCTGCATTGCTCAATGTTCTACGTTAGGCTAGTATCAATCCATCCCAAAAGTCCTAGAGTTGCATCCAGAGTTAAATTCTGCTATGTTGACACTTTCAAACAATCTCCTTAAACCTATTCCATGCTTCAAAAATAGTTTTCGTATCTCTCTGGCAGAAGTTATGGATTTCTCTTCTAAACTTGCCCGTTTTGGCTGAGGAGAAATATTTATCAAGGAATTTCTGGTCATCTCCTCCCAAGTTCTAATTGATCCCGTGGGCAAGCTTCGAAGTCACTATTTTGCGTATTATTTAAAAGAAAAGGGGAATGCCCTTAAATACACTACATCTTGTGGCACACCATTGTATTGAAAGGTATTCATAATCTCCTCGAAGTCCATTAGATGTGTGTTTACATCTTTGTTTGGCTTCCCTCTGAAGACACAACAATTCTGAAAGGTTTGAAGCAACCCTTGATTCAACTCGAAATTGTTTGCTACAATTGGGGGTGGTCTAACACTTGATAAACATTGATTGTAGACCGGTCTAGCATAATCACCAAGTGGTATCCCAGGCCCGGGAGCTATATTTACGAACTGATCTGCAGTCAAGGGTTGATTTTGAGCAATTCTACGACCCCTCTCTTCTTCGTAGATAATTTGTGCATCTCTAATAGCAGCTTCCTCAGCATCCCGTGCAACTTGTTCTCTTCGTTGGGCTGCTTCTCTCGCAAGCAAATCTACATTATCCTCACCATTTCCAGCCATAAGTTCTTTAGTTGAGGATTGCCCAACCTTTTTTGATGTCTTGGTGAGATTTCTTTCCTTCCTCAGTTGTCGCAGTTGTTTTTTAATTTCTGGCTTGTATGGTAGTACTTCCTTTGCAGAAGTTCGAGTCATGCACCAATCTTAACTTGTAACCTGCGCACAATCAAAGAACACCAACCGTAAAAAGAGAAAAATAAAATTAAATAAAAAGAGAAAAAAAATTCCTGAATTAGCACTACAAACTATTTCAAACAATCCTAAACTCTAAACCCTAAACACCACCTGCACGCTTAAGAGCTTCTCTCTCTGGCAATTTTTGGCAACTCCTTGGCAATTTCCGGTGACAGTCCTCTTATGGCCGATCTGGCAGGCGGCCAACCTACTTCTGGGGCTGGTTTGCCTTCTTCTTCCAATTCCCAACCATTAAACAACAATCCAACAACAAATAATTCAGTAGATTACTCAAAAATCCTAAAACCTAATTCTTTGAATGCACCAACTCCGGCAGTCTCTAATGTTAATGTAGTCGCACCAATTCCAATCAAATCAGTCCAGTTCCTTTATGGTCAACCACTTATAAAGTGGACTGAAGCAGAAATAAATCGAATGAATATCATACAAGGCCTACAATATGCTGTTGTTACTAAGTTTTTGTATGGTTGGCCGAATTTTCATGAGCTACGTCGAGTTATTCCATCTCAATGTAGAATAAAAAGAGAATGTAACATTGGTTTCGTATGTGATAGGCATGTCCTAATTAGATTGACTCTTTTTGAAGACTTTATAAATTTAACGTCTAAGAGTTCATATTGCGTGAAGGAAAAGGATGGATACCAATATCAAATGCGACCTTTTATTTATGATTTGAAGTTTAAAGCTAATGAAGAGACTCCTTTAGCTTTGGCATGGATTTCCTTTCCAAAACTGTTGCCAACGTTCTTTGTGAAAGAGTGTCTATTCTCTCTTGCTTCTGCTGTTGGGAAGCCCATGGCTTTAAACATGGAAACAGTCAATAAAACAAGGCTCAGCTGTGCACGAGTAACTGTGTTAATTGACCTACTAGCTGACCTACCAATAAAGGTGAGGATGGACATTGAGAATAAAGCTACTGAGACTGTGAAGACTGAATGGGTTTAAATCCAATACGACTACATCCCTAAGTATTGTAAAGAATGTAGGTTACAAGGTCATAATGAGGAGGAATGTAGGAGACTTCATCTAGAATTAATTCCAGTTGTGGATAAATAAGATGATGGTGCTATTGAACAAGGTGGAAGAAAGAATAGCAATGAACAACCACTCAAGATTTTAATAGTGGTAAGGTTGTAGGTAATGTTGGTGAGCATTGGGGAGAAGTAAAGGATAATCGAGTGAATAACAATGCTAATCAAGAAAATAATCAAGGTAACACTGGGAAAGAAATTGTTCCAGTTGACCAAGGATTAAGGCAACAGCTGGAAACAACCAATAAATTTGCGGCTTTTGAAGACACTAAAGGTGACAAGGAAGAAAATAATCAATTGTCCATAGTAGAAAATTTACTGGTCAACGCATCCCTAACCCTACTGCCCAGCGTAGCCCTAATCCTAAAGGAGATGGGAGATTAAATCCATTGGCAGCTACTTTTTATCCAAATCCAGCTGGGAATGAGTTGAAGGGAGGTAATATGACTTGTCCTAAAGGGAATGGGATAACTGATCACAAAAGTAAGGAGTCTACAGCTCAATGGGTTCAAAGAGCTTTTGTTGGAACTAGGGTTACTGTTAATACATCATGTCAGGAGATTTCATCACAAGAAATATATGTTGTTGAAGAACTGGGTAAGCAATCTGGACAAATGCAGCTTGGGGAAGGAAAGCTATGGTGTGATCAAGTTGAAGAGCACTCTGAAGAAAAAGAGGGTGGATTGTTTGAAGAAGATGAAGGTGATGACCTAGAGGAAGAAGATGATCTCACATGTGAAGAACAAAGTGTTAATGAAAATTATGAACAAGGAATAATGAAGACAATGAAGAATGCCAATGATCCTAATAGGGTTAAATGATACTGGGGGGAACTCATAGTGATGCTGAGCATATTAATGAGATTAATCTCATTAGCAAACAAACTGAAGATGGTGACAAAAAGCAGCAACAGGAGAATACAGTTAAAACAAAAGATGTCCAACAGTTAGGGCAACAAAGGGCTATTGTAGTTAATGATTCATTGAAGAGTCCAATTGATTCAAGAGGAAACAAAGGAAAGGGGAATTCGAATAGAAATTTAATCCCTAGACCTACCATAAACAGCTTGGTAGGTCAGCAAGAAGCCAAGGAGGGAGAATTTCTAACTGCAGCTCAAGGAAAGGACTTAGACGAAGAATCTACTGCACAAAATTTTCTCAACGTGGCAAGGCAGGGGGGTCTATCACCAAGACATATGAAAAAAGGAAGATCAGTTGCAAAGGGGAGGAAGAAACAGGTGAAGGACCCTAGTGTGTCAACTGCTGGGGTACAAACGAGAAGGGCCTTAACTAAATCAAGTAATTAGCTATGAATGCTATTATTTGGAATGTTAGGTCAGTGAATATAATAAAAGCCTTTGAAAGGCTTGTTACAATGAATAGGAAGCATCATATTGAAATCATAGGGATCATGGAACCAAAGCAAAACTCGAGGAAGCTGAAAAAATAACAGAGGAATATTGGATTGGATCGGGCTTTTGTTAACATTATGGAACCAAAGAAAAACTCGAGGAAGCTAGAAAAATATCGGAGGAAGATTGGATTGGCTCAGTCTTTTGTTAACATCTCAAACAAAGTGTGGACTTTCGTTGATGAAAAATATGAAGTAAAGGTGCTCATGGATACGGTACTACAGCTGACATTACAGCTTCTCAATATGGAAACTTAATAGGAGCTGATTGTTACACTAGTTTATGCTAAGTGTGACGCTATTGAGAGAATTGAACTTTGGGATACACTATGTATGCACTTGCAAGAGATATGACTACTCTTTGGTTTGTGGGGGTAATTTCAATGTGATATGGGATGAAGAAGAGAAATTTGGAGGATTATCAGTGTCTTTGAATGAAGTTGAAGACATTAGGCATTATGTAAACACTTGTAATTTGTTTGATCTTGGATTCAAGGGAAGCATCTATACATGGTGGAATAGTCGAGCAGAAGGTGATTGTATTTTCAAAAAATTGGATCGTTGCCTAGCAAATATGGAATTTCAGCAATTGCTGCCAGGCTTGGAGATAACTCACCTACCAAAGATTGGTTCTGATCATAGTCCTATGTTGATTACATGCAATCCATTTTCTATCCCAATCAAGAAATCTTTTAGGTTTCTCAATTTCTGGACGAAACATGAGTCATTTGTTGATATTGTGAAGGAGAACTGGAGGGCTGATTTTTGTGCAAATCCATTTGTCATCTTCAATCGCAAATTGAAGAAACTAAAGAAGGCATTATCTGCGTGAAGTAGAGGAACACATGGAGATATTTTCCAAAAAATCTCAAGTCTTGAAGAGGTAGTCATGGTGAATGAAACACAATTTAAGCTTAACCCTACTCATCTAAATATGGAAATGCTTTAGAAAGTGCAAGTTGAATTCATAAGGTATTTGGCACTTGAGTAAGAATTTTGAAAACAAAAAGCTGGTATGTCTTGGTTTCAAGATGGAGATAGGAACACCAAATTTTTTCATGCTCAAGTGAATGGTAGAAGAAAGAGGTTACAACTTAAAAGGATCCAGTCTAGTGAAGGATTGTGGACAGAAGACAATGAGGCTATGGAAAATGAGGTTGTGCAATTCTTTTAGGCTTAGTTCAGAGATGACAAGATCCCCACTGATTTCAGGATCATTGATCATGTACCTTGTATGGTAAATATGGAGCAGAATCAAGACTTATTGAGGCAACCTACCAAAGAAGAAGTTAATGTGGCTATCGTTGGTTTGAATGGTGAGGTGCAGGTGGTCCAGATGGTTTCACAGGGTGCTTATTTCATTCATGTTGGGATATTATTGGTGATGACATCTTTGATATGGTGAAGGCCTTCTTTAATTGCCAGGAGCTACCTAAATTTGTAACTCATACAAATCTGGTTTTCTTGCCTAAGAAGAAAGAGGTGACTACATTTTCTGATATGAGGCTCATTAGCTTGAGCAATTTCATCAATAAAGTGTTCTCAAGGGTAATTCATGAAATGTTAGTTATTTTACTCCCTAACTTAATTTCAGACGAGCAGGCTGGCTTTGTGAAGGGGAGAAGCATAGTTGAAATTGTTCTATTAACCCAAGAGATCATTAATGACATTAGGATGAGAACAAATGCTAGACCAAATGTTGTGATTAAGCTAGACATGACAAAAGCTTATGATAGGTTATCTTGATTATTTTTGACTAAGTTATTGAGGAAGATGGGGTTTAATGAGAGATTCATTGATTTGGTGTATGGCATTGTTTTAAACAATTGGTATTCAGTATTGCTCAATGATCAATCACATGGTTTCTTCAAATCAAGTAGGGGTGTCAAGCAAGGTGATCCATTGTCTCCTACTCTCTTTATCCTAGCAGCTGAAGCTCTATCAAGGGGATTGAATGCCTTACATATGAACTTAAATTTCTGTGGATATGGTATGCCTAAATGGAGTCCCAAGATAAATCATCTTGCTTATGCAGATGATACTATTATCTTCTCATCCTCAGATGTACCATCCTTACCGTTGATCATGGAAGTTTTATATGCATATGAGGTAGCTTCTGGACAACTAATAAACAAGTCCAAATATGTTATTTATTTGCACCACTCGGCCAGTGATGAAGTGGTTGACAAAATTGAAAGGATCACAAGAATAAGCAAGCAGAAATTCCCTTCACATATTTAGGATGTCCAATAACTTATAGTAAAAGAAAGATGGATCATTATTAGGGGATAATCAATAAGCTTTTGGAAAAGTTACAATCATAGAGGGGGAGATTATTATCAATAGGAGAAGGAGCAGTGTTGATATCCCATATTTTGCAAAGCATGCCTATCCATTTGGTTTCAGCTATAAACCCTCCTGCATTTATGATTAACAAGTTACATAAGCTATTTGCCAGGTTTTTTTGGAGTAATTTAGTGGATGGAAAAAGTAGGCATTGGGCGTCTTGGGACACTTTATGTATGCCAAATAAGGAAGGGGATGTAGGCTTTAGGTCTCAACATGATGTATCTAAAGCATTGTTTTGTAAATTGTGGTGGAATTTTAGAACAAAGCCTTCCTTATAGAGTTCTTTAATGAGCCAAAAATACTGTAAGAAGATGAATGCAATGGTAGTACCATGGAGAGATGGTTCGCATGTGTGGAGGAAGATGCTAAAGTGTAGAGATCTCATTGAACACCAAATTGGTTGGCATCCAAAGATGGGATCATCCCTATTCTGATTTGAAAACTGGACGGGCCTTGGGGTTCTTTATTGATTTTGTCACTTCTCCTGAATTATATTGTGATGAAATAATCCAGAATGTATATGATGTGATGGTTAATAATTCATGGGATGTTACTAAGCTACACTAAATTCTGCCGCAGGACATTGCTTCGCATATCATTGATAACATTGTGCCTCTTTTTGGCACATGATGTCCTTGATAAACCATACTGGATGCTTGAAATAAGAGGGGAGTTTAGTGTTAAATCAGAATGGGAGTTTTTAAGAAGAAGAAAATAATCTTGCAATGCATACAAGATGATGTGGGTGAAAGGTTTGCCATTCAAAATTACTTTCTTCATTCTGAAAGTATGGAGGAATAAGTTGCCGCTGGATAATTATTTTCGATGGTTTGGTTATTTAATGGACTCAAGATGTTGGTGTTGTGCCAACCTAGAGGAGGAAACCTTTCATCACTTGATTTTCAGATCATATGCAGCTAAGAAAGTGTGGCATTACTTTCTTTCATGGGCAGGAATAAGTTTGGAGGGATTGTCTTTGCATCAAGCTATTGTTCGATATTGGACTGCCAGTGTAGTACCTAGACTTCAAACTATCATGCAAGCACTTCCATCAGTCATTGTGTGGGAGCTTTGGAAACGTAGAAATGGCAACAAATATGGGGAGGCAGTAACAATTAATAGCGTCATTTTCCAGGTTTCTTCATCTCTACAATCACTGGTAAAGATAAGAAAACCAAGACTTCAAAAGGTACCTCATAACTGGTCGGAGTTGCTGCTAGTAATGGAAAATTATACGCCTGCTTTGAAGATCACTAAAGTGATTTGGGAATATCCCACTCCAGGTTGGATTAAAGTGAATACGGATGGGGCTTCTAGGGGAAATCCAGGTAGGAGTTCAATTGATTTTGTGCTGAGGAATGAAGAAGGTGATGTAGTGTATGCGTGTGTAAAAGAAATACATGAGGGAACAAATACTGAGGCTGAAGCTAAGGCAGTGTTTGAAGCTTTGAAGTATTGCTTGAACCATCACTACATGCTTATATTGCACACTCATTCAATGGTGATTAAAAATGTTTTTGAAGGATCATGGACTTGCCCATGGAATGTAGTTGTGTATGTGGAGGAGATCAAGGAGATGATGACTAGATATAACATTCAGATATAACACACTTAGGGAAGGCGATAAACTGGCGGATCATTTAGCAAACTATGCTTTGGATGTAGGCCCTATAGTGTGTCATGAATTAGTGAAATTGGATGTATTAGGAAGGAGGATTATGAATAATGACATGCTGCAATGCCCATATTTGAGGATCAAAGCTACAAGGAGATAGGCATGAAGTGGAATAGGGGAATAAAGGAAAGGTGTAGTAGGTGGAATACATTAGATCATCATGTTCAAATCTTAAGGGAGGAGAACATGTTGATCATTTTTTCTTCTAACCTTGTTTTCTTTTTTGCAGGTGATGTTACTGTATCCATCCTTGCTACTTGGTACAAATTCGAAGGGTGGTATTAGTAGTTAATGCTCACTCCCTTGAATGAATATTAGTAGTAGGCACAAACATGAAAGCATGGAGGATTTTTAATTTACTAGGGTGTGAAATAGCTATGTGGACCTCCAGTAACCGAAGGCTTGCTTTTAACATCAAACATCCTAGAGCTCCAGTCCCTAATAGCAGCTATTCTCACGAGAAAATACGAAGAAGGGATAGACAATGTTGGAAATACAAGGGAAGACTGTCCAGAATTTTGATCTTAGCACTCATGGGAGACACGGGCTTTTGGCATCTAAGAATGGGATCAACGAGTGCATTGTGGAGCAAAACCCCAATGCACTTACATAATACTACATCTCATGATTGGTGCCACACAAAGGATTCATCAGATTATTGATGGAAATTGCACGAATTCCTCACCAAACAGTGCATGCTCACCTACTTGCACAATTGCTGGACACTAGAAGCAATGAGGAATGCGGACACACAGGACTTACCAGGGGAAGAACTACCAGCTACATCTACACTTGGGGACATCATAATTTTGTGTGCATGCTGGGACATCAAGGTTACAAGCAAGGATCATCTCCGTAATTTGGAGGACAACTACTACACGTAAAATGAGGGTCATACAAAAATCTTTATGCGCGTGTGACTACAGGGTGCCAGAACTGATACTATGGCTTTGTACTAAATATATGCAAAAGGGAGGACATATTGATTGAGGTTTCTTGAGCTCACCACTATAACTTTGGATAATGCTGGAGCCAAAATGTGCGTACAACAAGCGAGGAAGGATGCACAGGTTGCTTTACTGGGCAGTGTGGATAATTGATGCATCCTTTGCATTCATAGGGCTAGTTTTTGATCACGAGTATTACTACACAAGTAGATCTCTTTGCCAGTCTTCAGTTAGTTCAAAATGTACTACCATAGTTGAGTATCATTTGCTCAATTTTGGTATTAGGGGCTATGTAATCGAAAAAATTCTATTAGCTACACTTTGTAAGACAGTACACTACTTTTATTTTTGTTTTTGTTTTAGATATTTATAAAAACTAGCCCTTTTTTTCCCCCAAATTTGGGAGGATCTATAGTGTTTTCACACTTACCCTCCAGTGTGACTCGAACCCAGGACCTAATGGTCGTGGGTAAAGGAGCTTTTACCAACTAAGCAAGCCTCACTTGTCAAAACTAGCCCTAGGCGCCTTGCCTAGTGGATTTAAAAAAATTAAAAAAAAATTATTTCAAACACCGTTGATTGCAAATCCCCGGCAACGGTGCCAAAATTTAACGAGCTCAAAATACACACTTAAATTATGCTTGCTAGTCAAAGATAGTATAGTATAATATCGTATCCACAAGGATTGGAGTTAAACAATATTTTCGTAGTATCTAGCTTGATTGCTATCCAGGAGAATCAACAATTGAGAATTATATGATGTCTAACTAAAATTAACTAAGAATCTAAAGTTATTGACTAATGACAATCACAACAAGGAACAAGCAAAGAAGTTATCAATGGGAGAAAATAGGGGTTGATAGGATAGGTTCAAGATAATTGTTTGGGATCTAACTCTAGATAATTCACTTCTAATGTTTAAGTAAGTCTCTCGAATTCACTCAATTATTAGTTCAAACGTTCAGTAAAAACTCCTCTCTCGATTAAGTCTTAACCTCACAAGATGAACCAATTTTAAGTACGTGAAGATATGCAAGAATGCGTAGTGGATTGGTCTTTAGGAAACCCTCTTTCGATTATTCTCCTAACTAGGTTTAATTAATAATTCAAATAGCCTATTTCGATTACTAAGAAGAATTAACGAACTCAACCAATAATATAATACAAAGATATCACAAGTTATGCCTCTCTTGATTACATGAACAAGTGAATATAGATGCAACAGTTAAATCATCCAAAAATGCTTCAATACATAAAACTAGAGTTATAATCCACAAACAAATATCAAAACACCAAATCCATGAAACCCTAAAGAGAAGTACTCCATATATATGGAGTAATTCATCACAAATATAATTGAAGTATAGGAAAACATAGATTCGATCCAAACTCGGGTCTTGAGTGAGGAAGGAATGATGAAATCCTTGTGCTTTTGCTCCTCCAACTCCTCTTTGGCTTCCTTAGGTTTAAAGTATGTCAAAATTCCAGAGAATAATATTTTTCCATGTATTTATACCAAGTAGAGTCGGGCTAAAATGAAATCACCCTTTCCTTGCCGAAATAGAAAAACTTGCAAACTTAATGCTTTTCATGCGTCGCACTATGCTACGCCAGTGCGTCGCATTAGTGCAATTTTCTTGGTTGTAAACTCTCAATTTTGTACTGATGCTACGCACTATGCCACGCACTATGCCTAGCATTAGTGTATTTTTCTGTCAGACCTCAGAAACCCATCCTCTGAACTTTGTCAATCTTCTGACATAAATTTACCCTAC